CTAAATAGAGGGCGTCTGGCAAACACTCGAGCCTCCAGGAACGTTCGAGATACTCATTACGTGTTACCAGCGTCACGTGACTTCCGCAGTCGTAACAATATGTTCAATTTGTTTTTAATATATATATTATTTAAAAAAAAATGGAGTGCGTTCTGTTCGTTTATTGTCGAATTTATCGCCAACAAGTCACTGATTTCTACTCAATTCTTAGCTCGACATACCTATATTTAACTTACATTGCAATATATATTTCTACTAAAAAAAGTAAGTTTCCTGACATCTACATAATTACGTAGGGATGGTGCAATTACCACATCTACTATCTTGTTTTTGAAGGATTGAAGTTTTTTCTTTACTTTATCCTTTGGCTGCATTGTTTGTTCCACGTGAAAAATTTTGTTTTGCATTAACTTTGATATTCACTGGCGCTTGCGTACACACATTCATGTGACAGTAGATTCTGTGGAATAATTTTAAATATGCGCTCAGTGACGTAATTGACTTACGGTGGCTTTACTTTATATTAAATTTCAAACAAAGAGATGAGCAACAATATATTTCTCTGTTATTTATTATAAATAGAAACGTAAAATAGAAGCGTAAAAATGTAATTGTAAACTTTACCTTAGTCAGAGAGCGGAGCAGAAATTATTAACCCCGCACTCAAAAATATCGTATACTATTGTCATATTTTACCCGTCGAGTACTAATTTAGTTTCGTAGAGATGTTTCGAGTTTGGGAGATTAACTAGTACTTTCTGGTTCCATAGATTTACATCCAATATAGTACAAGACTTAAGGTAAGATTAAGAAGATTGTGAAAGGTTACTTTTCCTAATGTTTGTTTTATTTTTGAATTATGTTGTTATCAATAAGAATACTATTACTACAACTACTAACTTACGAAGTTATAATATTAATAACACGAGCACTTAAAAGTTAAAAAGTAATACTACTAGTTATTAGTATTAGTAATACAAATAGTAATATTAGTACTATATAATTTATAATAAAAGTATAATATAAAACTTGTAGAACTAGGAGTTTTAAAAGTGAATCTAAAAAAAAATTTACTATTATTTTAGAATCTTGGCAATAACAATAAAACTTAAAATTGAATCAGACTCGGAAATAGGTGAATGTCTGTGTGAATGTGATACTGATTACTGGTAGTGATATAACCTCGGTGACTGATTCTCAGTGTTAGCTACCGAACTGGTATTATTAATACTACTACTACTATTTATTAGTAATACAGGCGCACTGGTAGTGGTACTTCTAAAAGAAGTTCCATGAACTGAAGTAGTACTCAACCAGTGGAACTGGAAGACATAGTCCAAATTTAGGCTCTCTAACGCTTTAAAGTTTAATTTAACTTTAAAGTTTTATTTTATATTAACAAAAACTAATATTATCCAATTCCAAGGCATAAGGAAGGAGAGGAACTATCCCCACCCAAAATTTACCTAGATCATAACCACAGTGCAAAAGTAATGACATAAAGCAGTGGTTCTCAAATGTTTTTGGCTTGCCTAACACTTTTTGTTTAATTTTTTAAAAATTACAAACCCAGGTCTAATTCATAATAAAGATAAAAACCTAGTAGCAAAAATTCATATTTTTAATGCTTACCCATTAATGTGAAGGATGGATTGTTTCTTCTGATGTGATTGACGGATATGTGGTACCATTTTTGTCAATTTGAAGAGAAGAAAATACTGGAGAGTCTATACAGGTAGAGGAGAGTAGTGTGTGTATATGTATGTGGAAAGCTCAGATAGGGCTTATTACAAATTTTATGATTTTTTAAATATTAATTGTGTCGTGTACCATTGGCATTAGCTCCACGTACCACCAGTAGTATATGTACCACTGTTTGAGAATCCCTGAAATAAAGTATAAGGGAGTTTTTTATAACAATATATGTTCTGTGGATAATAAGTCAACAATAATGTTACTCATGATTGTGCATTATATTTGTTGTTTTACTTCCTTTCTGGTTAATCCAGTGTTGGGAAAATTAGTATAATATAACTATTTTTTTTTTTTCACTTTTTGCTATGACTTTTAAGTAAGTATTTTATTACTACATTGTAAAATCTATTCCAAATTCAGATATCTGTTCTGGAATTGACTCTCAAGCTTTCATGATACAATTTCTGGGTGCAATACAGTTAAACACAGAGGAAAACAAGCTCTCTTCAAATCTAACAACTATTTTTTGTGGATAGGTCAAAATCTCTTGATATTTTTTTAAAAAATTATGGAAAGCAGAAGTGCTTGCAGGATGTGATTGGTGCTTTTAAGATTGTTAGAGTTTCTCTTTTGTAATTTTTTTAATGATTGTAATGTGCTTTAAAAATTATAAGTACAACTAATCACCACAAAAAAAAAAATTTTTTTTATTCCCAACATTTTGCTATTTCAGTTTTATCAAGTGAGGAACCTACTAATTAATTAATTCAATAACAGTAACTTTTACAATAGGGAAGTTCTGATTTTAATGATTGCAATATTTCAACCCATTGTATTAGGTCATTATCATCTAAAAGTTTCAATCAGTAAAGTAGTTTGAGTTTCAGCAAATGATACAGACTCATGAATGTGAGGTCAAGTTTGGCATGTGGTGTTAAATTGGACTTGTAGTCAAAGGAAGTAGATAAAAGGAGGACTCCTGGATATTTATTTAAAGTTGGCTTTCATGACTATCAGTAGTGCTTCAGCTTATTTTCTTCTATTGATTTCTCATTCTCTTCAGATGATTTTCAGTTTTAATATGTTTGGTTTCTTTTAGATGTTAAAAACACTGACCCCAACAAATACTTTAAAATGGATGAAAACTTCAACTGTTTATATGAAAAAAGAAATGAATAAACTTCTGAAAGCACTTCAAAAAGGTGGCTGCATAATCCCTGAGCTCAGAAACTGGTTACAGTACACAAATGGTAGAACTCCTTAACTCTATAGCTGGTGAAAATTCATAAAACACTTATGAAAATGCATTTCAAAATGTCAACAAATTCTCCATAGCAAAATTGGATCCAAAACACAAAATGGCAAGTTTTGAGACACGCACATATTCCAATAAAAGAGGTGTACAAACTTATTATTGAACAAATTATCAAAGACCTGAAACACAATGTCCACGTCTGCATCAAGTTTTCTAACCATGCTTAATCTTGCCACAAAGTTCGGTTTCAAATTCAACATAATTTACTGTCAAATTAATACCATCTGTATGGGCAGAACACTACCAAGTGTACTAGCAAACACCTTTTTTAATTCAAATGGAATAACGAGATTTGAACATGGGGATCTCCAAGCTCTTTTGTTGATTAGATATGTTGATTTTTTTTTCCCAGTTCCAACTTTGATTAAGAAAGAAAAAGCTTCTCAAACAACATTAATGACATACATACCAACATTATTATTTTTTAAATGAAAATTAAACTTTCTCCATAAACCTTTTAAACATGCACATCATGAGAAAACAATCAGTATTTGAGACTAAAACCAATAGAAAGGCAACAAACTCGGAACAATACCTTATTTGGAAATCTGTACACCCCATAAGACAGAAAATAGGAACTTTGAAGTATATTATATTAATAGAATTTTTTAATATATGCTCTGCAAACAATTTAGATGAACTAAAATGAATTTCTGAAATATTCATTAAAAAAACATCTGTCTAGAAGAAGTTGTTAAATGAATAATCAACATATCCAAAAAAACTTTATCATCAATATAGTATACACGTCAAACACATTGAAAACCTAATCGGAGTATGGAAATGACTTCTGAAGAAACACAACATTGACATAAATACCATAATCATACAAAGGCCATGAATTAGAAGCAAGAGTGTTATTACTAACCATTATCTCACTGAGAATGGAAACAATGGAGTGATCTCAAAAATCACATGTAACTCTTGTAAACACTTGGATATTAGAGAAACCAGGAGGGAAGTGAACATCATGATTTAAGGAACAACTTGAAGGACACTCGCATGTTTTTTTAACATCTCAAAGAAACTAAGTATATTGGTGAAAATAGTTAGTCATCCAGATAGAACCAGACATCAACAGAAAAAAAATACCTGAAGCACAATTGATAGTCATCAAAGCCAATGCTAAATCAATATCCAGGAATTCCCATTTATTAATATTTCAACCACCTCACTTTACTAAAATGCCAATTTAATACCACCTACAAACCTGTAATGTTTATTGCTATTCAAACTATTTTATTGAATGAAACTTTTACCTGATGATGACCTGATACTATGGGTTGGAATATTGTACGAATCAGAATTTCCATTCTGTAGAAGTTGCTATTATTGTGTTTTTGAATCTATTGAGGAATAGCTATAACAACATAATCTACCACATAACACAAATCTCATCCAGTGCCTTTTGCCATTATATCAGTATTGATACTGGATCTAAAGGCTGAAAGGTGAGGATATATAAAAAAAAATTAGCATTCTCTTTGTGGGAAGTGAAATTTCATGGTTTCTGTCTTTCCAGTGTAACATTACACAAACTTGCTTGTAAATGTTTTTAATCTAATACTTGACCTTAATTGCTTAATAAGCAATTTTTTAAATGCAGAATTGATTATGATGTTTCTATAGAACATAGCAGAAGTTACAATTAATACATTGTCTCGTGTTATTATCTTCACACATTAGATATTAATTACAATTGCCACCTATCTTAATTTGATTGGTACTGTTCTTGCTTCGGGTATAATGTCTTGTCACAAGCCTGTTTGGATGGTGAAATGTTCTGATGAGATAGTCTAATCTGACTTTTTAATAAAGGCAAAGATAAGAAATAAGTGAAATCTTTTTTTTTTGATATTCATAATTGACTAAATTACAGAAAATATTCCCCCCATGGGTTTTGTCAGAAGTTTAAGGAATGGCTATGTGGGCTATTTACTAATATTTTTTGCAAGCCCTTGAGTAGTGTGCAAGTGCCAGAGGATTGAAAATTTCCTAATATCACTCATCTTTTTAAGGGAAAATGATAAGCATTGTCAGGTAATTATAGGCCTATTAATCCTACATCAATGGTAGGAAAAGTTTTGGAAGTTTGATATATGGTACTTTACAGAGTCATTTCACAAAGTTTTAAATTTTGTTGGATAGTAGACATGGTTTCAATATGGGAAACTTTTTTGCTTTTTTTTTTGACATTCTTTGAAACTTTACTAATTATGTCCCAATCAGTGTCATTAATGTAAATAAGTAAAAGTAGAGGACCGAGACTGACCCCTGAGGTAGTTTTCTAATGACAAAGGTCCAGTTTGGTTGAACTCCATTAATAACAATCCAGTTTATTTGTATTTTCCAAACCCCCCCCACAGGTGTAATTGTTTTAGCTAATTTTGTGCATGACACTGTATCAAAACTTTTGAAATATAACTGCACCATGTCTACAACTTTTCCATGATCCAAAGAAAGTCTTCCCTTATTAATCTGTTGCATTTTGTTTTTGGAGGATGTCACTTATGTGGATGGTGGAAAGGATATGGACTTGGTGTACATGGCCTTCAACACAATGACAAGAATTCTCATATAAAGGGTGTATCTTACAACATGACTCAAGATGCATAACTTGACTATAGACAAAGACCAACTTATAAATGATTATATCATATGTTAGTAAATCAAAGCCACTGTGCATATCATTAATTAGTAATCTGAGTAATGACTTTCAAAGTGTGGGAACCATAATTATGCATAGAAACACCACTGATTATGCACAGCAATTGAGAAATATCTGATTTTGAGAAGAAAAGGAAGAAAGCATACAAGATCATTTATGTTACTTGTACAATAAGATACTGCACTGTACTGCTGAGAAATCAACTCTTACCTGTACCATTTCAATAACCATCATAGATGTCCAATTGATTTGCCTTACTCATCAGAGATATGTTACCTTTTGAAACCTCAGAAGTGGGGCTTTTCATCTCCAGGGAAGACATGATGTCATATACATCTTTGCAGTTTTAACCATTGTTATTTAGAACCTTTGGTTTTTCCAGTGGACATTGCTGAAGTCAAGCTACAGATCTACTTTTGAGCATGACTTCTCCTTGGACCTGTCCATCTTAGTAACTTATTTTTTCCACTCGAGACCAATCTGGTATGTAGCAGGAAGTTTGAAGCTGTCTTGTTCCTGGGTTGAATTTTTCTAGTCATATGACTAACTATGAGAGCTCCAGGATATTGTGTATCTGTTCTGGCAGTTTTGTTGATCACCCTAAGAATATATTTGGACCTAGTGGTTGAAAAAAATCACATGCACAACATAGCTAGGTGGAATGCTTCAATTGGATCAATACCAGGGACATCTGGTGGCACTGACTAACCAACAGAATGCCTGTCTTTTATCTGGGTGGATTAAGAGAGCATGGAAAATTATAAGGCAGAAAGGTTTACATCTTATATCAGAAAAAACTTGTTTAATTGATGAGATTGGAATGTTTTGATATCTCAGCCAAAATGGTAACGTATTTTATACAATTGTAATATTTCTCACTATCACCTATAAACAGGTCTGATAATTGTCTTTTTTCTAGTTTGTATTACATGAAGTTGCCAGGTAAAAATTTTACAATAATGGCAAATGTGTCAAAATAAAATGGTAATAAAACAAAAGATTAACAAAGATATTAAAAAAAGTTGTTTAACTGGTGGAGAAAACCGTAATCTTATGATAATAATAAAAGTGATATATTTTTTTAAGGATGTTACTTATTATCTGGATGAAGGAAAGGATATGGACTTGATGTATGTGGACCCTTGACACAATGAAGAAACAACATGTTTATTTTAAGTAACTGTTTCATTTATTTTCAAGAGAAGAAGCTATAGTTTATAACTAATGTTGAAGTGGATAAAGAGAACAGAAATTTTTGATGATGATGATAATAAATAATAAATTTTGTGTAGACTTGGAGATTCAAACAGGACTCTGCTTGTGTTCACAGTTACTTCATCATGTTCCATGCTCCTCTAGTTTGGTCATAATATGATTTATTTTGTCCAGCATCAGACAAAAAATGAGGAAAATGCTAATTAACAAAGAGATGTAAGGGTGTAAAACAAATGAAATTGGGGTGGAAAACAAACTTTGAATGCTTTAGATGCTTAGATTAGTATATGATACGTGGATGTAACTAGAGGATTTTAAGCTACACGTTGTTGTTACTATATAATGTGATCCCTTGCAACTTTCTGTTAATAAAAGATTGTATAGAAGTTGTTGTACATGGACTTAAGTTGTAATTACAGTTGTGATTTTATTTATTCTAAGTAACTGTCTCCTTTACTTTTCATGGTGAAGAAGCTGTTGTGTGACAACAGGTTGGTTCAGTAATTTCTTTAATCTTCTACCTCATATAGGCAAACATTTACTTTGAAGTAATAATATGTACTGTTTTTATCATTAAACCAAAAGTGAAATCAGACTTGATTATTGGTGCTGGTAGGCCAGTTCTAAGAGTATTCAGCCAAGAATTACTAAAACTGTCTAAAACAAAGTTAAAACTATTATAAATACACTTAGGCATGCTGTTATTTTTAGCTAATGGTTAGCTTTTGTAAAGGGTACTTGCATATAGCAATGTTGTCAATGGAGATGAAAGTAATCTACATGTACTGTAATCTTAGGGCAAAAAATAAAACATTTATCTAGTGAAGCTTGGAACTGCTCCATTTATAATGTAATATGTTTTAATTTAGATGTTAGCTACATGGTGTATGATGCTAGAATCAAGCAAGTCCTAGAAATATGTAGAACATGAGTTGATTACAAATATGATATTCAATGAGGCATTGTTAGGTTAGATAGAAAATAAGTTGTCAAAGGTATAGTTAAAAGTTATTTTTAAATCAGAGTTGAATCAGTCAGTGTATTTTCATTAAGTATTTATATCTGTATTTTCTGTCACACTTGTCAAGTTACTTTTTATAAATAGGTTGATTTGCCTTATGTTAGTTAATATTTTTCATAACATGAAAGGAGGAAATAAGGTAATGTTCTTGTCACATGGACTGAACCTGAATTGTTCACGAGATAATGTGAAAGAGCCCACCAACAACAAAAAAATGTTACAACAATATCTTATAGACTTGTTCTTTTTTAGCCAGTTAAAAAGTTATTGATTGATAAAAGCTCCCTAATTCAGATTGTATTGTGTGTTCTGATGAGAAATGTAAAACAAATGTTCATTATTATTATGCTGGATTTGGTAAAAATTAATATGCTGAGTTAACAACAATAACAAAAAAAGCAAAATGGAAATGTAAGCTAAGTGATGGTAGCAGGATGGCAATTAAAAATAAGTGCTAAAGAGGATGGGAAGAGACATGCAGTAAAACAAGATTGTATCTGATGATGAATAGATACTAACAAATAGTAAAATTTCTATGGGGACGAAGTTAAGAGTTTTGAATTATGTTATACCAATTCTCACATATGCATCAGAATGTTGGACAATATTGCCAAATATGGAAAAGGGAATTGAAGCAATCGAGTTGTGGTTCTTAAGGCACATCTTGAAGGAACGTTGGACAATGAAGATATTTTGTCAAGAGCAGGTTGCAGGAGGAAGCTGCTGATTAACATCAGAAAGACAGTTGGAGTTTCTAGGTCATGTTATGAGGAAAGAAGAAATTGAAAGCATGATTGAATGGGAAAGATTGAAGGAAGGAGAGGCAGTGGAAGACAGAGGTTGATTTATGTCATGAAAATATCTAAATGGATGAATGTATTGACATTGAAAATTCTTTGTGCCTCATGGAAAAGATATCTGTGGAAGATCATGGTCACTAATGTCCTGTTTGGATATGATGTGTAGAGAGAGAGAGAGAGATGTGATGATGGAATTGGAAAACCTTCTGAAATAGCAGCATATCTTGACTTATAATAGACTTATTCAGAAAGTAAAGGAGTTAAAAGATAATTGGAAAAGAGAAATTGAGAACTGAGAAAACGTTGAAACAAATTTAGCAGGAGGTTTCTGAATCAAGTCAGTATTTGAGGAATCCAAATTTGGAAATAATTGGAAGACCAAAAAATTTACATGAAGTTGTAAAATAGTTGCTAATAAAATTTGTATAAAGATCAGTGAAAGTGACATAATTACGTATAACACACGCCTACGAATTTAAACTTCATAAAAGTTGTTTTGGTTTTAATAACGAATTTTCCATAATTCAGCTATGCAGATTTTGAAAATAATATTCATTTTTTTCTATCACTTTAGGATTTTTTACACATTGGGAAGAAAATAAAAAAACTTGCTTAGATCAAATTATTATTTCATTTTGACATTGATGTCAAATGAATATGCATAATCATTCATCCGGATTTTTTTGTGAAAGCTATGTCTTTTAGTCTCAAAACTACGTGTTGTGGTCTTTCTTTTATGTATTGCATCTGGATCATCTTGTTTCAATGTCCAGCTGTAATCAGCCAACATGCTGATGTTCCACCATCCCTGATACCTTCTTTTCATTTCTCTGATGTCTTGATGTCGCAATTGGTCTAGAAATCTATAGCCAGTGGTTGTCAACATTTTAAGCATAACAAAATGTGACCTGATTTTATTGAAAATTATTCACTTATGTAAAAGTACATGTGGTGTTTTGCAAAATGTCTGTACGTGATGGAGGAAAATTGATACTATTTTCAGATTCAGCATATAGGAATTACTCTAGAACATGTAAGAATTTCAAGACCATAAAACATTGCAGGCCTATATAATCTAGGTACAGAACAAAAACCATAATAGTAATTTTAAATATAATGTAAGAAAACTGTTTATAAGCAAAAAAAATGGTATGATTAGTACTGACATGGATTCAAAATTTAAAGAAGGTAAAATTTATTTACATGAGCATATAATATTTATGTCAATATAGTTATTATACAAAGCAGAAAATTTGATATTTTGTGAGTAAATAAAGAAAAAAATCTTTATGATAAAGTCAAAGATCCAAAATACGAGAATTTAAATAAAGTGACAGAATATAATGAAGAATGACTTTGAAAAGGCTTGTCAAACTGAATCAAAAGGCCTCAATTTACTCAAATGAAATGGAGATAAGAAATCTATGTTTATAACATAAACAGAAAAAATTATTACACACAAGTATAAGAAGTATTAAGGTTAAATTTGAGCAGATTGAATTAATGCTGTATTATAACATGGAACCTAAGATAAATATTTTAATTCAGACTGATATATGGGATAAAACATTTAAATATATTGGTATCAGTTAGACAAATATGAATTGTTTCATAATTACAGGCAATATAATGGGTCTGGGTATATGTTAACGATGTTGTGTTTTAAGATTTGTAAAAAAGTTACACAACTAGAAAGTATTGAAATGTTAACAGTAGAAACGTTAAGTGTATATTTAAGAGAAAGTAACACAGTAATACTAACTTCAAATTAGAATAGCTACCTATTTAGATCAAAAGTATAAATCAACCTAGTAACGAGTATAACTAATTAAATATACTGTTTTTACAATTAATACATATAAAGATTAGAATGCATTGTTTTGGTCATTTGGATGCCATAATGTTTCGAATTTTCAATCGTAGAAACAATATTTCACTAGGCTTGGTCAACGTAGAAAGTTGAAGATAGTCCTAAATTCATAGACTTGGCTAACAATGCCAAATATCCATAATAAAAGTATTGAGCTGTTGGAACAATAATATTTCACGAGGCTTGGCCAACGTAGAAAGTTGAAGTTAGTCCTATATTCATATAACAATGCCAAATATCCATAATAGAAATATTGTAATAAAAAAATAAAACCAGATGTATTAAGCATTCTAACCAATATTGTCATTGAAAATAAAAATAACGAAATGATATGTATACCTTATTTATAGAACACTTAAAAACTTGTTTTTAGCTTCAAGTACAGTTGTAGCTTCAATGTACTTTTTCAGGTAAGCTACAAAAAGCTTTAATGATATATATATTGAAAAACAGTTAAAAGTAGGTTGAGTATATTTTTAAGTAAGAAAAACTTGTTCTGTAAAAATCACTATGGATTTAGAAAAGTGCTAAACATTGGAGACAACCTATAACATAACTTAATTTTAAGGACAACAAGAGACTTATTGGTCCATCTAGGCTCTCTCATCCTCTAAACTAAACTAGAACTATTAAATAAACAAAATATAAAAAAACAACCTCAAAGCTAGCCCTTATTATTCATATAGTTATCAAGCTTTCTCTTAAACTGAAATTTATTGCCTCCACAACATCCGAAGGCAATCTGTTTCAAAGGTCAAATACCCTATTAGAAAAATAAAACTGTCGTAGCTGAAGATGATCCCTATCCTGCCAAAATTAATATTTGTGTCTCCTATTCCTACAATTCTCATCATTAAGTATGAAAAGAGATGATACATCAACACTATTAATTCCCTTAACAATCTTAAACACCTCAATCACCTCTACTTTTTCCAAGAGAAAACATTTTCAGAGATCTTATCCTCTCCTTGTATGAGAACCCCTCCATCTCGGGCACGATTCTAGTAGCCCTCCTCTGAACCCTTTCCAACAATTCAATGCCTTTTCTAAGGTAAGGAGCTCAAGACTGAACACAATACTCTAAATTTGGTCTAAATAATGACCTCTATTATGAAATTATAACCCTTTTAGTCTTGTATTCAACATTTCTGTAGATACAATCTAAAATTCTATTTGTCCTACCACTAGCAACAGTACACTTGAATGGCTTTTATAAGAGACTGATCAACCACTACACCAAGGTTTTTTCTTTCATAACACTGTTAAGATT